TGGCTTCATTCTTTTTGGTCAGTTGGCTCTGATATGTAGCACCGGGTAGTTAGGATTTCTTTTGGTTCTTTTGTGACACATCTGTGTATGTATCGGCCGGAATATTTTGTAAACATGATTTATGACTTGAATTAAATTGTCGATGTATACAATGTTTGTATGAATATAGTGATTCAATGTTTAGATGTTTCCGCTTTTATTCTGAATATTGATGTGTGGGTTTTAAGGACTAAGTTCCTTTGTGGTGATTTACCCTTTGTTGCATATCTTTATGAGCAGGCGTTGTTTGAGTTTTGAATTTCCTGGATAATGTGACGTACCTCTTTTATATCATGTGTTAATTTATACTCTGATGATATTTTTTATTAAGTGCCTAAATGAATTAATTGTTTATTTGGGGTATAGAAAGGGGGTGTTACAAAAGTTAATTAGATACAAGAAGACCCCGAAATTTATCCGACAAGCAAGTAAAATGCAAAGAGATAAGATATACCAGAACAGGATGGATGGATGCAAAAAGATGAACAAGATAACATGAGATTCTTTGGGTGGTCGAAGCATACCCTTATCCAATAAGGTTCTTCGCAATACCAAAGCAGTATCTCTAAATACATAAGATTCTTTGGATGGTCGAAGTAGTCTCTTATCCATTAAGGTTCTTTGCGATACCAAAGCATTATCTCTAGTGGTAAATTTATTGGGGAGTAGTAGTTGAGCAAAATTCCTGTCAGAGGAAAAGTGTTATCCAAACTCTGCATGGGGAAAGCCTTCAAGAAACTTTTTTGAGATAACCTCTGCTTGGGGAGCCATAAGAGCAAAAGTTGTTGGGGGCTATCATTATCAACTTCATGGTTGAAGAATGACTTGTTGGGGAGTAAAATTCCATGAGCACGGGTGATATTGACACTTTTCAGAAGAATACTACCGACTTTAATGGAGCATTGACCAAGATTCTTGTGAACCAATCCTGGATCCTGCTATGCTGTTATACTATGCTAATGGGGACAACAATGTTATGATCTGTGTGATGCACAAATATGTCAATAAGATGCAACTACTAGGGAAATAAGATGCATATGAGAATGAAAATGATTGATGCAATGCATATGAGAATGAAACCAGATAACCGAATTTGGTAAGGCTTTATTTCTGGTTTTCAATAAAGGATTATTTGGGCATTGGATGCAGCAGGGTGAAAAGATTCATGAGGTATATTGGTATGTCAACTCGGGGGTTGAGAAAAACAAACACACTATTGAATCAGAGGTCGAGGACAAAGGGTAATATCGACTCAGGGGTCGAGAAAAACAAACATGTTTACTCCCAAACAGAGTCGACATCTATCGTACCTCGAAAAATACGATCCTCGCGATGGACGCAGAAAATACGTTCGAACAAAGTCGCCACCGAAATTTATTCATTCCAAGAAAGGAATAGGAAAATATCGATAAAACCTTTAAAGAGATAAAAACATGGTCATCGCAACCAAATTCTAGGTTCGGGAGTCGGTTACGTAAAGGGAAGGTATTAACACCCTCTACGTCCGTTGTACTTAACGGGAACCTCTTGATTTGATTCGTGAGAAAAGTTAGCTTGACTTGTTTGTCTTCTAAAGGATTTGCTTACAGAGGGAAATGAGTGGTTTTTATACTAGGGTTCTCGCCAAGGATTGGGGCCCTTGTGCCTACGTAGTCCCTTGTGCAATGGGAAAGTCAGAGCATCGTAGTTCGGAGGACTACAGGTAAAGGAGGGAATTGTGGAATTGTGGGGAATTATGGAATTGTGATGATATTGGCGGAGGGATTTCGAAGGAGAAAGTTAATGATTATAGGGAATCGGGAGAGTGAGAGTGAGAAACTCGGTGAGGATGGGGAAGGGTGAGTGAGGATGGAGAAGGTGAGAGGAGGCTCGTGGCGGCTAGGGTTTTTCAAATTGGGAAGATGAACAATTACCAACCCTAAATCCCCCTTTTATCTTCTTCAGTCCGTGTCATTTTCTTTTTCTTTTTTTAATTTTTTTAAGTGAATTAATTAATTAATTATATTTCTAATCTAAATTCTAATTAATATTCTAATTAATTTCTAAACAAATAAATAATTATAAATTCTAATTATATTCTCTAATCTAAATTCCTAATTTAAATTCTAATCTAATTCCTAATTCTAATTAAAATTCTATTTAATTAATACTAAAATCTTATTATTATATTATATTAACATACTATTACTAACATTATCTTAAAATAAAATTATAAAACAAAAAATAATAATAAATAAAAGATGTCATTGTCATGCTTTTATTGGGCTAAAATGAAAAGAAATTTGAAAATTCACCATTTGTCAAATAAATATGCTAAATAATAAAGATGTGAGCATAAAAAAAACATTAATTATTCTAAACATTTCGACGAAAATAAAACGGGTATTAATGACCAAAGATCGGGCGACAAAGGTGCTTGAAAAAAAATTAGTTTATTTTAGCTGAAAAATACGTTACGCTGTACAAGCGATGCAAATTGAAAATAAAGTCGGGCAAGTGATGATTTAAAACAGGTAGGACAAATTTGAGGTATGACATTGACCTAAAATATCAAAAGTCAAAGTTTGACTTTGAGCAACTGTTGACCTTGTATCAGATGAATTCAAATCTTGCAATTGTCAATGAATGAAACTTCTTGAGCTAAATATATCACGTGAGTGGACTCCAAAAATCTAATTAAGGGTCTTGAATCAAGTTACAAAGTAGATCATGTTTTGGTCAAAAAGTTAATATCAAGTTGACTTTGACCAAAACCCTAATTTGGTGAACTTGAGGAGTTGAGACTTGATGATCTTGAATTGATGCAATCTCAAACTTTGATTGTTGATAAATGGAAACTCTTGATCCATGAATGAGTAAAATATTTTAAGATGTTGATGATCACACCAGAACCTTGTCTGATTAACCACTTGGATTCCTTGAAGTTATGCAAATGATGCAAACAATAATGATGGGATCTAAGGAGTAAAATTTGGGGTATGAAACTTTGGACTACATTCCTTTACAAAATCAAACGGATGCAAGACTTCTTCAAAATGTATATTTTCAACTAACCCCAACAATCTCCACCTTGATTGAAAGTTATACTTATGCTTTCATCATGTGTTAGCAATAACTCAATATAAAGAAGATTATACTTCACATGAAGCTAAACCACTTAAAGAATTTCCATATGTCGAAAACTAGGTTGAAAACTTATAGTGCAACTTCCATTTTGGTAGGACGCTCTTCAACCATTGACATAATCTCATAACACACTTTGCATCAATGTCCATATGTTAATTCACTAGCATTTATCTCAGACCCTTATCTAATATTTCCCCATATGAACACTTATACTTTAAATGCACAATCTTTCCATATTTCCAACATCTTACACCCGTTTCATTATTTTTCTTCATGCATATTCTTCCTCTAGAAACCAACACTGAGTTTGATGAACCATTATCCTCATCCTTCATCTTCTTTCTTCAGAAATAATTTTACCAGTAACTTCAACAAAACTCAAAATTTTCTTCCCATATATCAAAACAGGTTTAATATGCTCATAGCAAGATGGAACAAACGATATGAGTCTTAAAACTTTATTTTCAACATCAATATTGAATCCAATAATTTCTAAGTCATAAAAAATATCATTGAGAACATGGAGATAATCATATACTTTCATATGTTCATCCATATGCAAGCAATGAAACTGCTCCTTGAACAACAACTGATTTGATATACCATTTCCTTGATATAGTCCTTCATGTATGTCCTAAAGCTCTTTGGCTGACGATGTACAAATAATATTCACAAAAATATTATTAGTCAAAGACATGCAGTTATACTTGAAGCTCTGAAATCTAGTTCCTCCCACTTCTCACTGTCCATGTTGGAAATGTTTCCTTTCAACACCTTGTGTAAGCCTAATAGTTTAAAAACATCCTTGGCTTGAATTTTCCACAAGAGAAAATTGATTTTCCATAAAATTTCTCTAATTCAGTCTTCACTCCACTTGAAAAACTTGATATTACAACCAAAACCTTTCCTGCGGAATTTTTTTCCCAACCAACATAGAGTACTTTTTTTCCTGATCTGGAAGGTTAGACAAAACTGTAACCACCGAGCATACCAACAAAATTATACTTAGTCAAACCAAGGCTCTTGATACCAATTGTTAGGAAAAAATACACAGAGAAAATATGAACACAATAACAACATAAAAATTTAACGTGGAAACTCCAAAATCTGAGAAAAAACCATGGCCATCATCAAATGATAATTAGAGAATAACACTATGTAAAAAGTTGTTACTACACATAGACTACTCTCAACCACCCCAAAGCCACAATAGACCAACACTCTTCAAAGCAATTATTTAATTTCCTATGACAACACTCTAATACAAGAGTACAAGAGAAAATATAAAAACTCAAATACAAGTTTAATGTGTTTTTGATTGGTGCATTTTGTAATGAAAAACTTGAATTCTTTATATAGACTCTGACTCCTTATTCCTTTGAAAAACTAAGCGACGTGAGACTTCTTCAACATGTGTATTTTCAACTAACCCCAACAATCTTCACATTGATTTAAAATAATATATATGTTTTCATTGTCTCCACCAACAATAATACTGCATCATAAAGAGTATAGTCACTTGATACTACATCACTCCAAGAGTTTTCACATTGTATTCACTTACAATCTTAGTTTAAAAACTATCATACTCCATCTAAATAAGAGCATACTTCACTTGAAGCTAACCCACTTCAAGAATTTCTACATGTCAAAAACTAGATTGAAAACTTATGGTGCAACTTCCATGTTGGAAGGAAACTCTTCAACCATCAACATAATCTCATAAAACACTTTGCATAAATACTCGCATGTTAATCTGCTAGCAATAACTCGTCCTTTTTCCATGACAACAGAAATGTCACGAGGACACACTTCTTAATTTTTTGAGAATATTATCATATCATAAGCGATGTAGACATTGCTAGAATTTGATTTGAAGCCATGCATTTTACATGCCCAACCATTCCACATTTCCAACATCTCACACATGTTTCATTGTTTTTCTTCACATAAGGTCTTCCTCTAGCAACCAACAATGAGTTTGATGAAGTATTATCCTCACCCTTCGATCTTATTTCTTCATAAATAATTTTAATAGAAACTTCTTCAATACTTAAAGTTTCATTCCCATGTATCAAAACAGGCTTAATATGCTCATAGGAAGATGAAAGATACCATATGAGTCTTAAATCTTTATCTTCGTCATCAATCTTTATTCTAATAGTTTCTAATCCATAAATAATATCATTGAGAACACTTAGATGATCATATACTTTACTATGCCCATCCATACCGAATCTATGAAATTACTCGTTCAACAACAACTAATTTGATATACCATTTCCTTGATATAGCCCTTCAAATTTCTCCTAAAGCTATTTGAATGACGATGTACCAAGAACATTTGCAAGAGTATTCTTAGCAAAAGACATTCTGATTGTACTTAAAACTCTCAAATCTAATTCCTCTCACTTCTCATTGTCCATGCTGGAAATATTTTCTTTCAACGCCTTGTATAACCCTAATTATACCAATACATCTTTGACTTGAATTTTCCACAAGAAAAAGTTGATTATTCCATCAAATTTCTCTAAGTCAATCTTCATTGCACTTGAAAAACTTGACATTGTAGCAAAACCTTTCCTATGACAATTTTTTTCCATCCCAACACAGAGTAAATTTTTTTTGATGTGGAAGATCAAACAAAACTACAACCATAAAACATAGTAAAAAACTTTATACTCCACCAATCCACCAATTATTAGGAAAAATAAATATATAGAGAAAAAAAAGGAACACAATGATAACACAATAATTTGACATGGAACTCCAAAATCAGAGGAAAATCCACGACCGTCTTCAAATGACAACTAGAGAATAATACATATGAAAATTGTTACAACACATATACTACTCTCGACCACCTTAAAGCCCTATTACACCCGCACTCTCTAAAGCAAATATTAACTTGTCGTCACAACACTCTAATACAAAAATGTAAGAGAATACATAAATAGTCAAATACAAGTTTAAAATATTTTTTGTTTTGATCACAAACGATACCTTTAAACAAATCAAGATTGAGAAATGAAGTTCTTGGGTGAACAATGAAATCGGTTATAACAACGAGAGAAAGAAGAAAGGATAAAGAAGAAAGATGAAGAAGGATTAGGATAAATTGCTATACTATTCACTTTATCAATATTACAAGTGAATAACATAATCCGACCTCACTCAACAAACTGAATGATCTAGCCTATATATAGACTAACTAGATAACTTACAACCCAAGCTAACTAAACAATTAGATCCTTAACACAAGGTCCAATTCGACAAACATTTTGATAATACATATTAGAATAGAATTCGACTATAATATGTATCCTTTGACCACAACATGCGACTCATCTTCGACTTCATGCTTGTCTCCTGTCAAAATACATGAAAACTATTCCTCGACAAAGCTTGAGTTCGACCCAAAATCTCACAAATCTCCACCTTGGATATAACTAAACAAACAAGGAATCAACAAGCTTTCATCATGCAACTTTATTAACTGTATACAGTGGAAAAACATGCAACTTGGCAACATCTTGGTGATCATATCAGCAGCATTGCCATCAGTCGAAACCTTCAGCACCTGGGCTTCACCATGCTCGATTATCTCTCTGACAAAATGCAGCCTCACGTCGATGTCCTTTGTTCGCTCATGATAGGTTGAGTTCTTCGTCAGGTGTATTTCACTTTGACTATCACATTTAACAGTGATACTTCAACCTCAAAGTTTCATCTGAAGGTGAGAAAAACACTTAAAAAGGGGGTTGAATAAGGGTTTTGAAATAATTATGGCAATAAAAACAACACAGTATTTTTATCCTGGTTCGTTGAACTCAACTAATCCAGTCCACCCTACCAAGGTGATTTTCCTTTCTCAACAAGGACTTAATCCACTATATTCAAACAGATTACATTGTCAACCACTAAGAACAACTGTCTTAGTCTTCTCAAGAAATTCTGACCACAACTTGGTCTTCTTAAGGAACCTTTTACAAATTAATGTAAACTAAACAAGTGTTTAAGATGCTTCTAAAAAGCTATATCACAACTGTGATTTTTACACTTAGTTTAAGAACGGATAAAATTATTCAGCTTATGAAAAAATTGTATGAGAGCTTAAAAGTAGTTTTCAATTTGATGAATCAAAATAAATTGTCAACTTTGAAATGTTGTTGAAGACATCCTTTTATAGAGCAGAAATTCCAATGCTTGAAGACTGTGCATGGCAGAATAGTTGTAGCCTTTTTTGTCTTCTATTGACTTTAGCTTTCCCAGAAGAGGAATGTTCAGACAAATCCCTTTTATCTGATTTCATGTGCCATACATGAATAAGGAAAGAGTCGTTTGGAATATGCCAACGGATATATCTTTGAATAATATTTTCTTCAACAAGCTTCTGTCTCAAAGTTATCAACATCAGAGTCTTGATGTTATTAGAGTTTTGCAGCCAAAATGCTTCAGCATGAATATCAATCAGAGCAGAGTTTGAATAACAAAGCCTCTGTACTTGCAGCGTAAAGTACCTTCAGAGTCTTCTTGAAACAATGCTTGAAACTCTTCATACACATTCTTCAACTACGCTTTAGAGTCTTTTGCAGCTTCTGCTTCAGAGTCTTCTGCAGCTTCTGCTTCAGAGTCTCTTCTGGCAGCGCTCAGAGTCTTCTGATGACTTGCTTTTGATGCTTCAGAGCTTTGCGTAGAATACTGTTCAGATGCATTTTTTCTTCCATAATAATATTTATTTTAATATCTGGAACAAAAACACTTGAACAAAATTAGAGTATATATTTTCTTAATACAAAATTTCATTAGAGTTATCATCAAAACATAGAGATATAATTAAACATCAATCTGTGTTCTAACAATCTCCCCCTTTTTTATGATGACAAAAACAAGGAAATTTTGTTCAATAACAAGGATAAATATATAACTCCCCCTGAGATAAAGAATCTCCCCCTGAAATGAATACTCTAATAGAAGAAAATACTTCCCTTTTTGCATGAGTATACTTTTCAGATTAAGAGCCTGGTTAGAATCCTGGTTAGAATATACTTTCCAGAATCAGAGCTTGATTTTCTTTCCAGAATCAGAGCCTGGTAATAGCTTGATTTACTTTCCAGAATTAGAGCCTGGTTTACTTTTAGGATCAGAGCCTGGTAATCAGAACCTGGTTTAAATTAAGTCTAGTTTGGGGATTCTCAGGGTAACTTCAATGAATTTTGTCAGATGATACGTTATAGATCTGAAAGACTTAAAATTCAATGTTAGTTATAATTCATTATGTCTAAATTCCATTTTAGTAACTGTTTATATTTGAACAAACAAAATTTCTTTTTCTCCCCCTTTTTGTCATAATCAAAAAGAAAAACTTTTTAAGACAAAAAAGAATAACAGAGAAAAATAATATAAGAACATATAAGGAAACATACAATTTCATTGATAAACAGAATCCAGAAAACATTCTGATAAACACAAGATAACATTAACAACAAAAAATAGCAAACAAGTGCACAAACATAACAGAAAAGAAACTAAGGTTGGCGAGAGGCTATCATCTTCAGAAGGTCTGTGATCTGAGAAGTAGATTCCTCTTGTCTAGACATCCAAGTCTTAATCTCATCTGTGGTTTGTTCTTGCTTGACCATCCATGTTCTGATCTCTTTGTTGCTGGCTTCTAGGATAGCAAACTTTTCTTCTAAATCTGGTTTTTCTATCTTGATTTCAGAAGAAGTATGATCAGATGCAAATGCAAGAGCTGGAGCACTATCAGTGACCATAGCAGATGCAGATGCAGTCTCTTGAATCACAGAACTAGAATCTTGTTCCACAATCATCAGAGCTGACTGATTAAGCACAAGAGTTTCTTCAGTAGCAGCCGCTTCTGGAGGAGTATCTTCAGACATAGGTTCATCAACAAGTGCATTTTCCAGAGGAAGAACTTGAGGTCTACTCATGTTCAGAAGAGTTTGTCTGATAACTTCAGCAAATTTCACCTTTGCATAATCAGAGCAAATGGTGCGAAGATTTGAAGCATCAGTGTTGAACCTTGAGATAAATCTGTTCCAAGAGGCTTCAGACGCATCTGGATTCACACTAGACAAACATTCCTTCTTCACAGAAGATATCCACATGTTTATTTCCTTCTTGAAGCCATTAAATAGCATACTAACATCCATTCTAGGTTTTGGTTTCAGAAAGGTTTCTAGAGATGGTGTTTTGGTGGTTTCAGAGGAGGATGGTATTGTAAAGGTTGGGATAATGAATAGAGGACAGGGATAAGATGAACAAGATGTTTGGCCAGATGATTCAGGGATAGTCTGACGTTTTGGATAAAAGTGTTTAAGTTTGAGTCCAGAGGGAAGGTTATCAGATGGTAAAGGTTTCAATGAAGCAAAAGAAACAAAATCAGATGATTTTGATTCATAGCCACAAAGTGAGAGGGGTGAGTTTACTTCTAGGGGTACATCAGATTCAGTAGAATCAGATGATGCAGAAGAATGATAGGATGTAGAAGAGACGTCAAACATAATTTTTAAAGGTTGAATAACAAGAACTTCAGAATCAGATATGAATGATTCAGAAGGTTTAGGTTGTTCTGGTTGAGGAACAGAGGGGATGGGTTGTTCTGGTTGTGGTTCAGTAGTTTGTGGTTCTGGTGGGGGAATTTCATATGTTTGTTGTGGTGTAGAGGTTTGTTTATTTGAGGGGGGAATATCAGATGGTTGTTTTTCAGATGGAGTTGGTTGTTGTTGGGGTACAGAAGGAGTTGTTTCAGAAGTTTTCTTTGGTTTAGGTATAGAAGGAGATGGTAGAGATTGTGTTAGTTCAGATGGAATTGGTTCATGAGGAGGAGAGGGTGAAGGTATGGTTCATAGACAGGGGTATCAGATGTTAGTACCTCTTTGACAGTTTGCAAGATAGAATCTAAACTTGCCTCAGGAGGATTAGCTTTTTGCTTCTTGACCCTCTTGGGTTTAACAGAAGCTGCTTCTCCAGAAGCTTTCCTCTTGGGTTTTGAAGATCCTTCTTCAGAAACTTTCCTCTTCTTCTTGTGTCTTTCACTGTAAAGATCTGGTGCAGGTTCGCCTGCTTTTTGAACTAGATTTTCTAGTAGAGGAGTTCCATCTTCCAGACACGTTGCTATATATTTCAGAATAATCTCCCTTGGTTCATCAGCTTAGAACATAGGAAAATCATCCAAAGGTATCCTTCTTTTGCGGACCTCTTCAGAGTT